ATAGGTGGATGGGGGGTGTGTGGGGAGGGAGACCTCAGTTTCCCTGCCTCTTACCTGGCATCAGAGCCTGCAGCCGCAGGGCAACACCCTCTTCCCAAGGGGTGATGCCCACCAAATCCACTGTGGAGGAGGCAGCAGGGAGCAGGAAGGACGTGACTCCAAGGCCGAGGCACAGCCAACAAAATGTCAGCTCTCCATTTGATCAGGGGCCTTCTTTTATCGCGGTGGCATTATGCAGGTGGGGAAATCTTCCCTCTGTCCGCGGGAGGGTCTGGCAACTGACCTCTATCACAGTGCCCTCCTCTGGTACGCCACTGAGCAGCCAGTTTGTGTCTCATTTTGAAAGGAAAAGATACTGGCTTGCATTTCTTTTTCTTATGAACACCCAGTCATGAGTAATTTTACACTTGTTCCTAGTGGCATGGTGGGAATCCACATGACCAAAATGGTGCAACGCCCTTGCAGAGCTGGCATTCGCATGTGCAGTTCTTCAGCATTTTCTTTCTGTAACCTGTGCATTTCTAGGACGTCACTGAGCCCTCAGCATCTTAAAATGCCTCTGTGCAAATACCACTGCACAAATGTAGTGCTAAAGCTAAATGGGTGACCTAATTTTCTGTCCCACAAACCCCACTCCTGCGCAGCGTACTTCTGCTCTGAAAAGAGATCCTTGAGAAGTGGGATTGCGTGTTGGCTGTCAAAACTGGCCAGATTAAATCATCTTGGTGTTCATGCATAAACAGGTGTGTGTGTGTGACTGGGTTTTTTTCTCCTCACTGCCAGCCCTGTAAACTCCGTCTGGAATGAGGCAGCCAAATTGCCATCTTTCTGCAGTACAGGACAGGAGATTCTGCCTTTGGACTGGTCCTGTCAATAGTGTGTGAGCAAACCAAAATCTCTTCTCTCGTCCAGAGCTGTGCGTGCCTGGCTGAGCCACTGAGAGCAATCAAGCAAAATACTCTTTTGGTAAAAGCAATCCAAGGGACTCCAGACAGACACAGAAAGCAGCCCAGTTGCAAAGGTGACATTTTTTCTCCACCTGCAGAACAGAACTGCATTAACTACGTTTTGTTCTCATTTAGTTCACTAGGAAGAAAGGTGACGGTGAGAAAATGGTTTGAGGAATCGATGTATTCTTATGCAAAACTCAGCTGGAGGCAGTTTTGGTCTGGAAGGGCAGCAGGAGGAACATCCAGGCACTCGTGAGAAAGCAGCAAGCTGGCAGGCAGCTCTCCGCAGCGTGCGTAGTTGACTTCGCTATGTGACCTGGCCCTGGTTATTGGACCCAAATGGTGGTGTCACAGAGTGCATGGCAAAGCAGGCGGTGACCCTGACTCGTGTTTCTGGGTGTCATGTTCCTCTGGTTGCTTTTGTCTCCTAAATACTTATTCCCCTGTAATCTCACTCTACAGCACCACTACTATGATGGGTATTTATTAAATCTGTTTTCTTTCCCCTGATCAGGATCTGCAGTCCCTGACTTGGCTTTAACCTCCTGGATGGAGTGAAGAGAAACAGCTTTGTGACCAGAAGCAGCTAAACACCAATACAGCAGAGAGATTGCTCACAAGGTGAGAAATGGAATAGAGCATGTCTGGGAAGGGAACAGAGCTTGAATGCTGAAAATTTGGCCAGTACTGCGCTGCACGCTCCGCAGTCATCCTGCCTCTTCTGCTCCCATACTATATAGATTCCGCTTTCAGGAAGAGTCATAGGCAGGGTACAATAAAGATGAAACACACCCCTGGGGAATCTAATACCCTTTCAAAAAGAGCCTATCCAAAATGAAATAAAATCCTGTGTATTTTTCAGCAAAGACTATACTCAGAATGTTAGAAGACTTAACTAACCAAAGTGTGGCTTTCTCTTTCTTTCACACTGACAGTATTTTTAATGTTTTACTGGTCATTTTGCTGCCTTGGGGTGCATGCCTTGGGCCGGTGCTATACCTTTATTTATACTACAAATGTTTCTCAGCCCTGAGTGTTGTAAAGAAAATTTGGAAATCAGTATAACCACTGTGGTGTTGTCTTCCAAAATCAGCAGATCACCCAAAAGAAAACCTGAGGGGTTCATCCTGCTGCATTCGTCTCATCTTTGGACCTCCCACATGTAAGAGGATGATGTTAGCTCCGTAAGCAGTGCCATCCAGCTAATTGGCTTACCTCACGTGCCAGGATCCATTTCCGAGGTGTGTTCTCCATGTGACTATAAGTAATAATAAACCAGGAGCCTCTAAATGTTGATTATTTCCATGCTTAATTAATAAAACAGTTTATCGTTCCACTCATTTGCCTATCTGTTCTGTAGACAAAATCTAGATAAAATTTGCTGCAGAGTATGTAGGGCTTTCTTTTTAAGGAAAAAGGCTATGACTGGAGAGAAGAAGGAAAACAGTCTGCTTGACAGGGTGGATGTTCCTGTGGTGTTGGCTGCTTCCTTCCTTGATTAAGCATGGGAATGCTGGAAGAAGAGCAGTGATTCATAGGCAGTGGGAGGAGAAGTAGCTGCGGTGAAGGTTGTTGAGGAGAGCAGTGGTGATGTTCCTCTAACCTCGCTAAATGTGGGAATTTCAAGGACAAGCAAGTGACAGATTTTGTCCTTTAGGGCTGTAACTTTATGACAGAGAACCCTCTTTGCAATAAGGGGCCACAGTGGCCCCCCATCCTCAGGTCACACTCCCTTCCCGTGCTTCTCAGTCTCTGTGCCCTCACCCTGACCAGAGAAGATACGGAGGGGCTGGCTCCTGCAGTGTTACCTAGTGGTGGCTGACGTCCAGCGAGTCTCTGCAGTTGCCCTGTTTGGACTTCTCCCTCAGAGAAGCCAGGGGGTGCGGTGTGTGTGTGTGTTATTCATTGCTAGTTCTTCTGTTCACTCCGGCAGGTGACAGGACCATGGGCGACACAGAGGAGGGCAAGCTTCAGCAGGGAAGTCCTGTGAGAGCTGAACTGCATCTGTTCCCCTCCAGAAAGCTCACAGGAGATACCCTCCAGGACACCGATCAAAGACAGGACCACAAGCAGGAGCTGGAGACAGAAAATTATGTGGAGACGTCTTTTGGAAAGAGACCAGGCATGGTAATTGCCCGTGGAATGGAAGTCTGGGAGTGCGAGGACAGCGGTGGAACCCACATCAGCAAGGTTATCCTTGCTGGAGACAAGCCAGACCCACCCATGTGTAGGAACAGTGCCATTTGGATTCAGCAGGTGGGAGAGAAAACCTATGAGTGCCCCGAGTGTGGGAAGAGCTTCAGCCGGAGCTCATACCTGAGCCAGCACCAGAGGATCCACCTGGCAGAGAAACCCTTCAGCTGCTCCGAATGTGGGAAGAGTTTCACCCGCAACTCAGACCTGATCAAACACCAGCGGATCCACACCGGTGAGAAGCCCTACCAGTGCAATGAGTGCGAGAAGACCTTCAGCCAGCGGTCCAATGTCATCAGGCACCAGCGGACCCACACGGGAGAGAGACACTACCAGTGCAACGAATGTGGGAAGAGCTTCAGCCAGAACTCGCATCTCATTGTCCACCAGCGAAGCCACAAGGGCGAGAAACCCTTTAATTGCCCCCGGTGCGAGAAAAGCTTCAGCGACCGCTCCTCCCTGATCATACACCGGAGAGTCCACACTGGAGAGAAGCCCCACAAGTGCCAGGAGTGTGGGAAGCGTTTCCGGGACAGCTCAGCCATCATTCGGCATCAGAGGATCCACACGGGAGAGAAACCGTACGAGTGCACAGAGTGCGGGAAAACCTTCCGGCAGAGCTCCTCGCTGGTGACCCACATGCGAACACACACGGGCGAGAAGCCTTACAAGTGCCCCGTGTGCGGGAAGGGCTTTAGCCAGAGTTCGGCACTCACCACTCATCGCCGAATCCACGGGGGAAAGGCCTTGCCCGTGTACCATGGTGGCCTCTTGCCCAACCCCTACCAGTGCACTGAGTGTGGCCGGAGGTGCAGCGACCGCTCCACTCTGGCCAAGCACCAGACCACGCACGCTGAGGAACGGCCCTACATCTGCGTGGAGTGTGGGGACAGCTTCCGCCGGAGCTCGGCTCTCAACGTGCACCTGAGGATCCATCGCGGGGAGAGACCCTACAAGTGTGAGGAGTGCGGAAAAACATTCAGGCACAGCTCGGCCCTCGGTGCCCACCTGAGGATCCACGCAGGAGCCAAGCCCTACGAGTGCGGCGAGTGTGGGAAAAGCTTCCGGAAAAGCTCAACGCTTAAAGTACATTTGAAAATCCATGTGGTCAAGAAACCTTATAAATGTACGGTGGGTAGGAGAACGCTCACTTCCCGCTCTCTTCTGCCATAGGGCTGGAGCGGGTGTTCGGAGCAGGAAACAAAAAGCAGTGTTTGGGGGCACCTGGAAAAGGTGGGTGATGAAGAACCACAGTGGGAGGAGACTGACTGGAGACGTGGGAACTCTGGTGTCGGGGCTGGGTGCTTAACCCCAGTGGCACACAAACCATTAGGAGGTCTGGAAGCAGGGAGTTAGTCCTAAGAGCCAAGTGCTGGTGGCTTAGGAAGAGCGCTGAGAGCCTGAGGAAGGGGCACCAGCTTTTGGGTAAATTGGGGACTGTGAGTATGCAGTAGAATAACAACTGGGAGAATCAGGCTTGTAAAATAACTTTTCAACTGAAGTGAAGATCAAACTATAAAGTTCAGGTTGGTTCTGACTCAAAACTTTGGCTTGTTAGACACTGTAGTAGTCTTAGGAACTCTCTTTTTTGTTACCTTCCCTTGTTTTTCATGACCCTTGTGAGCTGACCCAGTGTTTGACAAGGTGCTTCCAAATCTTTTGAGTCAGAGACCCTGGAGCTGAACTTCAATCTATCTGTCTTGTCTTCCTCTTTTCCAAATCTTACATGGGACAATGAATTCCTACCTCTGCACGGGAAGCCTGAGCGAGACGATAGCCCAGTAATGCGAAACCGTCGTGGCTGTTCCCAGAAAACATGGATGCACAAGCATTTCCAGCTGGAACGCTGCCCATTACTGGTCTGTGGCAGTTTCTCCCAGGTTTGTCCGTGCTGGTTCGATACACCTTCCAACATGGGACAGTAACGAAAATATGGGCAAAAATGTGGCCTTACCTTATTTGACCAAAACCAGTATTCCACCCCCCAGCCCCAGATGTACAAGTCGGCATCGGTACACGACCAGTTCCTACCAGTAATCCGGAGAAGGTTTCCAATTTTGTAGTCCTTTTTATGATGGAGTACTCTTCTTTAGCTCACTATTGTTTGTACAGTATCAACATACAAAAAAGTGCAGCGTGAACAGTTAGGAATTACTATATTTGCATTTATTACTATGCTAATGACTAATAAACCCCCTCTATATTGCTATGTTTTATTACTAGCTATGTGTTTCCATCCTAAATAAAACCTGGGGTTTTTTTTTCCGCTCTTTATAATCCAGTTTTCTGCCCTCGCGTACAACGGGAGTGAAACTGTACGGGGAGGGGGCAGCCCTGCTCCGAGCCCGATGTGGCGAGGAGCGCCTCCTTGGGCACCCCCGGCCCCTTCCCAGCCCCGGGCTGGGAGCCGGCA